CAGAGAAATGAATTAAAGTCTGCATGGCATGTGAATACCAGTGCAATGAGTAAAAGAGGCAAAGAAAATTAARTAGTTCTGTCCCCAGAAGACAATTTGAACTGAGTGAACAGCAATAAATCTATTTTATTAATTGGGCTCTGAAATTTTCAAAGAAGTAAAATAAAGTCCCATCCCTTTAACCAGAGATGTTACCATGCTGTATGAAATGGGGGGAATTGAGGTTAAAAGGGGGAATCTGAGATTACACACAGAGACCTAATATTGAAGTTACCCAACTTCGAACGCGTGACCCAGCATCCCTAATAATATTATTTTAGCGTAATTTTTAATGGGTAATTATTTATAAAGCTCCAGACAGTAGGTGTGCAGGATGCTTTATAGGCGTATAAAATTGTCTGATCCCTGCCCCTGGGAGCTTGCGTGATGACACCACACAAGGGATGGGAAAAGAGGGGGTATGGGAGGACAGGGTTGCAACACTGAGATCATGAGATGYACTTACTGCTACATAAGCAACATTTCAGCTTCTCTGTGGTTTTCTTGTTACTCATTTAACACTATATATTAAAATTTGGTGAACAGATACATAACACAAAGACATCAACGGTAAGAAAGGATATGAATAAAGAGAACCGTGTAGTACAATGTTCAGAGTCAGCAGTTAATATTAAAACATTCACAGCCGAACGTTGCATGTAGTCAATTATTTATATGGGTTTAGCCCTTGGCACCTCCAGCTGAGCTCTGGATTCTGCTCCACCAGGCACAAACGTATCGTGAGATGTGATAGCTGTGCTATGGCTTTCAYTGTAAAAAAAACAAGGCAGCAGCAGAAGAGGAGCTCACAGGCAGAGACACCAAGATGGTTTAACAGGTTAGATGCAGAGCTAAGGGTAGGACTAGTGTGTTTTTACATTTGTTTTGATATTCTAATTGCTAATTTGTGAGTGTATTTGGATTACAATTGCTTGAACAAGAATCCCAAAACTAAACAAAAAAACAAAAAAAGACCGCATTTCCAAGTTGCTCCCAAGTACCAGAAAACAAAACCGTGGAGGAAATACCCCAGATTGGAAACCCTGGAATCCAAATATCTTCTTTCAGAAAATTCTGTTTCTGTGCTACTGAAGGAGATTTGAGCTCTGCTGTGCTGTGGTATTGGTTTGTGCAAAGCTCATGCTTGGTGTAATTCTGACCCAGCCACACTCTTAYCCTGCTATGTGCTGACAAACATATCCCATAGGAGACAGTGCCCTTAAATGCTCACACATTTCCTTGAATTCAGCAGCAGATGAAGACCCTGCTGTGATATTCTAATTCTATCAGGCATTCCAGCCACACAGAGAACACCCAGAGCATCCAGTAAACAACTCCAGAAACTCTAAGATAAATTAATTTAAAACTAAACACACAACTAATTAAAGGAAGCAATATGGCAAAATATTCTTGATCTCCTGGAGCACAGGCTAASCTTTTGGAGCAAACCTAGGTAAGAACTGTGGATTTGATTCTGCTCTTCATGGCAATTCTTCACAATGCATGGGCAAAATACTACCTGGACTTTCTTAATAGCTCTTCACACTACAAATATAACTTGTTTCCACTTTAAGGGTACTTTTTATGATCCACAGAGTACAAAATGATTGTAGTACATAGCATTTAATTCTTAGGAATTTGTTATTTCTCTGGGTGAAAAGCCCCATTTTTAGTCAGCTTTACAATTAAAAATGACAAGCTAAATGTTTCCATTACTCTTTTTAACCTTTTTTTTCCCAAGCCTCAGCCAAATTAGTCACTAAATGAAATTTCTGGCTTCGATAGAGCTCAGATTCAAGAAAAACTCAGTCTCACTGCTGCTAACTCCTTMGACTTTACAGTATCAACATGTTCTTCCAATTTCTTTGTTATTATCTTTCTTTAAGAATTGAGTTTAGATGACTAGTACCAAGTAGAAGACAAAAAGGAATGAGTAAACTGTGTAAAATTTTCCTTTAAATTTTGTAGCTAACAAAATATACTTAAAACTCAGTATAGCTTGTATTCGCTGTTCACATGAAGTGCATTTTGACTGTTTGGGGATTTAAGACGCTGGTTTCATCCTGAAATTAGCCCGTTCATCAAAGAACTATGCACAGTTTCTGAGTTCCCAGCACATTGTACTAGTGGGACTGCAGTTGTTCTGACATTGAAAATGGAAATGGATGCTCTCCAAATGGGGCTGTAATCAAAATTGTACTAAGAATTKATTCTTATCTGATTAAAACAAGAATTTAATGCAAATAGGTTTAAAAACCTACTTTTCCTTTCCTCTACTCTTAGGAAGTGTCTTTTAAAAACTTAGCAGCTTGACCTCAAAAGGATTTAGAGGAGCCTAATTTTCAAAGCTGTTTTGTTTACAAGGATAGGTTAGGAATTAAATTGGATTTACCTTCAAATATTACTGGCACATTCAGAGCATAACATTTTATAAGACATTACCTCTCAGGATCACTGTTGTGTCAATCTAACCGGTTGTTGACATAAGATTAAAATACATCACAAATGTTAAGTTTTTGCTATATCCTAAAGCTGATCTGGGGCAATTTTGTCATCCCAGAACCTAAAAAATAAATAATATCATATTTATGAAATTTAGTAGTAGTATTTATGTAAAAATAACTGCATTACCCAAACAAGAAGAACTGTCTCCTATTTCAGTCCCAACCACTGATTTTAAATCACAGATATATTCGATAAATACAGAACATTTAGCATGATAAAATCACAGGAAAAAAGCAAGCTGGAAGCCTAGCACAACCTTCTGCTCCAAGCAGGGCTAATTTCAAAGCCAGAACAAGCTGCCCAAGGCTTTGCCTGGCTGAGTTCTGAGAATCTCCAGACATGGAGATTCCTCRACTTCTCTGGGGAACCTCTTCCAYTGCTTAGCTCTTCCCATTTTGAGGAATTTCCTCACATTCAGTTTTCATTTCCTTTAGAGCAGCTGGTGACAGTTGCTTCTTGTCCTTTCACAGTGCATGCCTGAGAAGCCTCACAGTCCTCCTTTTAGGGGAAGACTGCAACCAGGTCCTTCCTTACCAACATTGCTTTCCCAAGGTGAACAAGCCAGCTGCCTCCCACCCCCTCGAACCTTGCATGCCCAATGCCCACCCCCTCAGTGGCTCTCCTCTGGACCCTCTCCAGTTTGCCAGTCTCTCTCTYGAACTGGGGGCCAAGACAGGACACTACAGCACTGGCCTCTCAGCACCCTCCTGTCCTTCCAGCTTCCACTCCTTCAGCTCAGCAAAACCCCTGGACAGCAATCCTGCTGGACAGCTTATGAAACATCCCGCTGTCCCTTCTCTGTGCACCCTTTCCAAACAGTAAAAATTTCATCTGTTTGTGTGGCAAAGGTAAATCTAAATGCCACAGACAGAATATCTTTGGCTGAGGTGGGAATGGAGGGAATACTGACTTTCAAGAGGGAGTGTGTCACAGTGACCCGTGATCAGTCTTTCATTTGATTAAAAAACCAGAAAAAGTTCCCCTCAAATTGTAGCTGATTAGTATTGTTATTACAGGGCTTTGCTTTGATGTCTTTGGTCAACAAAATGCTTACTTCTTCCTCCGCTACCAATTGTGCATGTGTGCTTTTCAAACCACTTTAGACCCCATGTTTTGAGGAAAGTTGGGATAGCCTATTTACCTCAAAAGGACCAATCTGAGCCTACTGAAATTAATGGGTTGCTTTTTTGGATCAGGTCTGGAATGTTAATTGCAGTTACTATACCAGCCTATCTAATTCTTCCAACAGAAACTATATCAGGACCTAAGCCACTGCAAAAGGAAAAATCACAAGAAAAATTTGTTGTTGAGAAGTATCTAAGTGAGGCTTGACCTTGTCCCCATAGATTCTGATGGATAAAGAAAAAACCCAAGATCATTCCAACAGGTTAAATACTGACTTTGGTCTAATTTATCCCGAAGTTATCACCCACTGCATGATCCAAGATGAAGTTCTCAGTCARAAATGTGGATGGAAATAACTAGGTCATGATACAAGCTCTTATGAAGGGGCTACAGATTAGCAGCTGAATGGAGAGAGACCAGAAAGCACAGACTTTGTGTCAACTGAGAATTCAGAGGAATTTCTGGCCCCTGTCCCATGACTCTCCAGCATCACACAGAGCGGATCCCTGTCAGTATTAGCAGGCCACCCGCCTTGCTGGAGGCACAGCTTCCTATTTGGCTAGTTTGTATTTGCAAAGTCCTATAAATTTTGGGTTCCCTTTGCAGCCCTGCCACCAACTATGTGAGTTTTGGCAAACAAACAGTGTCAGAGTAATTTGTGCTTGAAGGCAGTTTCTAGTTAAATTCCAGGTTCTCGTATTTTCTTGCAAAAACTGCAGAAAAATGTTTGTTTATGTTAAAAAAAAGGAGGAGGGGAAGGAAATATGCTGAAAAAACCCCATCCCAAGGTATAACAAYGGGGAGGGTTAGCATTAGGTGAACATATATATATATAWAAATATATGTATATGCAAACATTTCCAAACCAATCTCCAATACATATATATTCAAACATTTCTAAACCAATCTGCCTAAACTCCTTCTCCACCTGACATTTGGTGGCCTGAATTTTCCATTATATGACCCGAGTCATTTTTCCGGATCAATATATGGTAACGTTTTAAGCACTTCAGATGCTACCAGAAGTACAAAATAAACCAAACTGTAACAAAATAATTTGAGACTCCTTGAAGAAATCAACTCTGGAGGGCAGTGGTCTTTTTGCAAGAAATGTAACTACAAGTTCAAACAAAAAAGTGACCTTTGCCTGTTGCTACAAGTATGTCGCCCGAGGGGATTTGGCAGTGAGCTTTTCACTGGGAGGAGTCACTTGGCATTGGTACTGGTTTATGAAAGACCAGGAGAAAGTATAAGTTGGTTTTCTTAAATGAGTCCCAACCAGGAGGACACGCAAGATGTTTTCCAAGCACTGGTRGCAAGTAAATACTTACCTCAGAGGAGCACTGTTGGGTCCCGCGCCGTCGCAGCAGGCGCTCCGCAYGGGGCTCGTCTCCGCGCCGCACATCGTGTCCACCTCAGCTGGCTCCGTGTAGCCATTGACCAGCTTGATGTCCCTCAGCTTCACACTGTCATTTTGTGAATCCAGAGACACAATGTCAGACGGGGAGCTCACGACACCCGAGTCCTCCGTGGTGTCCTCTGATGCGAAGCAGCTGCTTTCTGATGCCGTTTCTTCCACTTCTGACAGCTCCAGAACCGTGTCATCCACTACATAAACATTATCACGTGCAGACAGCGGGCTCTCTAAATGAAATACAGCAAGGAAAGTTAGCTGGAAGTCATCAGTACGTAAATCAGAGAGCTGTCCCTTTATAATTGAAAAAACCCACATGAAATACATTAGAAATGGTGGAAGGGTGCTCAGTATTTCTCTATAAGATAAAGATGATTTGAAAAGCGGCAGAAATGATGTCCTTYGCTTTTAGAGAAGTGGTTTGCTATGCTGGACTTTGTGTCTTACAACTTTCATAGCAAATCAGTTTCCTTAATTCTCTGAAGAAACGTAATTCTCTGAAGAAATTTTCCAGGGACAGCTTCTTGAGGAATTAGACTGAACTTTAAATGACACGGTTCAAGAAATCACTCCTGTTATTCCTTACACTAACATAATCTCATTATTTCTCTTCTCTTCTGCCAAACAGATGACATTTCCAATAAGAAGTCTATGTACAGGTAAAAACGGGAAGCATTTCCCAGTCAAAACACTTAATCAGGTAAACTAGATCTTCTGCTGGCCCAGTGGGTATCACTGACTTTATGACCCTTCAATTTCGATTTTGCAATAAGTGGGAGAATAACATTTTTCTCTTTTTCAAAGCACATAAAATCTGCTAATAAGTGTACAGAAAAGTAGACAGCGCCATGCTTAAAGCAGAAATGTCTTTTCCAATTTTTTAGTTATTTGTCAAGGGATATGCCCTTTGCATGTTTAATTCTATTAAAAGCTGCAAAAATTGAGAGGAGATTAGACACAGTACAGTTTCTTGCATCCTGTTTTAATTTGGTCTTTACAAGCTACCCCCTTTTGTGTTTTTGTTTTTTTTTTGGTTTTTTTTTGGTAAAAAATACAGTTTTAATTTCCCTTAAAAAATGCACTCAACTCCATCCTGCAATTATGCCATTACAGGAGAGTTCCCAGCCAGGTCAATAATTTCAATGACTGAAATTACTGAGTGACGAAACACAGAATCAAGCCCAAACACACTTCTCCTGATCAAAAGGAATCAATAAAGACTAATCTGAATGTTTAATTTGGAAATATAAGTGTGCTCCATTCTCTTATTGAAGCTCAGTAAGCAAAAGGAAGATTAAACACCAGTTTACGGTCTGATCTTCCAGACACTTGTGGTGGATGTTAATTACATGAGAAGTCCAAGGTGTGCAAGAGTGACTAAGATTAAACATACACTTCGCTGTATTTTGGGCTCAGAATCAACAACTTTTTGAAGCACACATGAAGCTACAGCTAAATAAAAATGATCAATAGAGAGAAATACTTCTAAATTATGTTGYATACACAGAAGTATTTTCTTTAAGTCAGAGAACTGAAAACCACTTTGTCAAACAATCTCACAGAAATAATTTTTTCAGGGTATAACTTAGTAGTGAAGGTTTGAGTAAAACTAGAATAAAAATCAAGCCAACATTCTCCTTGACTGAGGTTACAAGATGCCATTAAGTACTGAAATTGATTTCCGACAGCAGAAGCAATAAAATTCAGAGTGTTACAAATCATGAYTAAAATTTTAAGTGCTGTCAAGCATTGATATTAATGATAGAAGATGATTCAAAGACTCTACTGCAACTTTGGAAGCAATGTTACTTGATTTCTTTGACCTTATTTTCTGTAACATTAGTTCTAGATGCTGGATATAGTCTCAGAGGTTGTTCCATTTATAAATGGCAATTACAGGAACTAAGTATGTGCTATTGAATGGATTCGAGTATGATTATCACTACATTTTCCTAACTATAGTTAGGAAAACATCAACATAAAGGATAAATATGAATAATTTGACATTGAACATCAAATAATAAACCCCCACAGAAACAGACAGTGAACAAACAGGTATGAATATTTGGCTTCTTGGCTTTTACAAACAAAAAAAGCCCAGTAACAAACATTAGTAAAAGCTACAWTATGCTAAAACCAGGACAAAGTAGGATAACAAAGAAATCAATTTAAAGAGTGGAAGTTGAAGGTAAAAGCACATGTGAAGATTTTGAAGTAATGTACAATGCAGTATATATACCTTGATGCAAAGAGATCTCTCTACAATACATGACAGATCTATTGTCACATGAATGCCACAAATGACCTCCACCCTACAGCTGGCACAGCAATTCATAACCAAGCACCTACTCCCAGATCCTGACACGAGGGGGGCAGCCTTTCCTTCCCTTTCCTTCCCTTGCTGTCTCTCTCATTTCCTCATCCTCTTCTTGCCTGCCTACAACTATTTCCTGCATCTTTCTGCTCAGGGATTTAGATCCTTTTGGTCACAGAGCCTTACTTGCCTACTTCAGTAATAACAACACTCAAATCTCTCTCTGCTCTGTAGCAGGATCCCCAACCCCAGCCCACTGTTTCCATATGTTGACAAACAAAATAAAAACCACTCTCTTATTWTCAGAGTCCATGGGTGAATTGATCCCTGCTACATCTGGATCTTGTCAGCTGAATCAGCCAGTCCAGAACAAGAACCTCCTCATTCAACAGCAGCTTTATCCTGAAGCATGGAAATACAAATAGACATCTTACTACTCAATGATTAAATCCCCAATGCTCAAGCAAAACCAAAATCTCCCCCTTTCTTCAAGACTATCAGTTTGAAAAAGTGCTTCCCTATCTTTTATCTTCACCAAGAAGATTCATGAATTTTTAATGCAGTTAACACATGACACTGCACAGAGTTATTGGCTGAGACAAACCATTTTGATTGCCACTATTACTTGTCTGAACGTGAAAGCACGCATATAAAACACGACTGTGATGGTTCTGTGTCATGTCAACAACCTTGTTTCAGCTAAGAGCAGCACTAAAACACCCCTGTTTCAAATTTGAGCCATTCTTGGATGGATTAAGTAAGAACTATTCTTCCTCCTACATGCTTGATTAAGTCTTCACTGGTGCAAACTGAAGATGGGATGGGCACTGCTGGGTAATGATACATGACATGAAAAGAGTCYACCTCAACATTACTGAGTGGTCGTGTCTTCAGGAGTCAGAAAATACTTTATAAAACCTCATAATTCCACACAGAGAACAGGGAAACATTTAGTGGCAGATGTGATTCTGCCCTGCAATTTTTGCATTTTTTTTTATCTAAGGGGATGCACATGCAGAAAACCACCCCACACTAACACAGTGTGACCACAATGATGGTGCTACTCAGGTTTTTTGTTGGTCGAATAAAGAAAAATCTCAACATTTTCTTCTCTTTTCTCTGTCATACCACTAAAACAAATTCAGGCTCTGATCCTCAGGACTTCATGCAGACACACCCAGATTAAGAAAGAATATCCAACAAGTGCTGCAGGATCAAACACACAAATAACAACTGCCACAGATAACATATTGTTGAAACACTTCTTACAGAAGACTGAGTTTTCAGATAAATAACAATGCCAAGATTGTTTTTTTCAGTAACATGACCCCATTCCCTGGCACCAGGTTGGGTGTGATATCGAAAAGCGCGTAGAACTTGGTCCTCCAAGCTATTCTAAAATCTCCGTGGGACATCTCACCCCCATGTGAAACTGGAGAGAGTYCTTCAAAGCCTTGCATTGCTGCTTACCTACGTCCTGCTTCAGGCTGCAGACACTGCTAAGCCCACATGAGTGCCGTACCAGGGATGTCCCCAGATTCACAGCAACACTGCTGTCGCTGCACAATTAGGTCAACCACAAGTTACAAAGGCTTTCTTACACAGGGGGAYGGACTGGGACGTCTGTTTGCAAGAATGTAGTCTGTGATCATCAAGAGGGGAAAAGAGGAGAGTAGCTCATGAGTAAAGAATGTGAGCTTCTTGTTGAACACAAAAGAGATCTTGTTGCTTTAATCTCAATAGCCTGTAAGTAATTAGGAAAACACTGAACTCTGAGTTTAGAGGAGTCATATCTGCACTCGTGCAGTTTGATATCACAAATATGTACACATTACTCACACAGAATGTCAGTGATGGGGAGACAGATAAACCTCACCTGCTTTAAATGYGAATCAGCACTTTCAGAAAGGAAGATTAAATTCAATATGAGAAGGCTACCATGGGTAAAGCAGTCACCTTGATTACTACTATGAATATAACCCCCATCGAATTTGAATGAGATTAGAATCAGACATAAGCACTCAAAAGATGCATATCCCTTCTGGATTTACAAAATCCGTCACCAAAGTCCAAGTCATCACTCCCTCTGATTTCCAAAGGGTGTAAATCCCAACTGTTCAGGAAGATGTAACAGTTCATTCAACTCCTACATGATGAGTAACCTGAACTTCACAATCCTTCTAGGGATGCAGAGTTTCTCTAACACATCTGACTTTTGCTAAGAGGTTGGTAATTGCTTTACAATTTCTTTCATCATCTGTTCCACTGCCAAAAAACTTTCTTTTCATGGACTAAAACTGCTTTKCTGCAGTTCAAGTGGTCTATTATAATGAAGTTGTAAAAAAAATACTACAAACTTCATGATGTTAAAGAAAATTAATTCTTATAATGATACCCAAATTAGAACATAATTCTTTCACTGACAGTGCTTAAAACTTCTAGGAGGGAAAAGGAACACTGCCCTAATTATTTGTGCTGGCAATAAAAAGCTAAGACCATCACAAAAGACTAGTATTAAAAAAAAACTGTGCATTTTTTTTTCATACACTTGGAAGAAGGCTGATGGAAGAAATGGGAAAAGAAAGMATTTGTTATGGCAATTATTTACAGAGATCATGAAAGTGGAGAACACAGGATTATCTTTAAGAGTTTTTAAACAGGTACAATGTGTTCTTGTTACATTTTACTCATTTTGCTCATGGATCAAAAACCTATAYGTAGAGATAAGTGTTAAAGACCACTCAATGAGCAGATAAAGCACCAGACATAATGGGCTGTCTTCTCCCTATCATAATTAAACTTATTTTAACTCAACATGCTCCTTAGCATATTTGAGCCTACAAGCATATTTTCTTTTTWGTTAAAAAATGAAAAGAAAYAAAGAGAAAATAAATGACCACTGTWATACATTAACAG